TTGGCTTGTTCGCTGAGCTGGGCAATTTGGTTGCAAAAGTTTCATCACCAATCGAGGTGACATCATCAGTGCGTAGTTGGGCGTAGCGGTGGGTTACGCTACGCACAACTACGCACTGATGATGTCACCTCGATTGGTGATGAAACTTTTGCAACCAAATTGCCCAGCTCAGCGAACAAGCCAACGGCCATGAGTGATAAGCTGTCTCGACAGTGCTCATTCTTGAGCCTGGTCATCGCAAACGGTATATCGTAGCGAGTTTGAGCCCACTTTTTCTACCAAATATGTGGACACTCATTCTTTATGTTGTACACTCTTTGGTTCAATCACGGTTGTTTAATTGTTCAAATTCAAGTGTTTTTCATTCGCCCGGACTCGCCTCTCTTCAGCTCCCGCTGCTACACGAGAATGATATCATTGTGGATGGCGGGAACTCAGAATTTACAGACACTGAACGAAGATGCACCGAACTGGCGAAGAAAGGCATTTTATATGTTGGATCAGGTGTTTCGGGTGGTGAAGAGGGTGCTCGCCACGGCCCCAGTCTGATGCCTGGGGGCAACCCTAAGGCCTGGTAAGTGGAGTAGTCTGATTCTGTGCATTTTGTGATTTCTCTAGTTTTAAAGGCATCTGACTTGTGTTGCAGCCGTTTTTGGTCAACGTGATTGTCGACTTTACCTCGCATTTCGACCATCAAGCCTAAATTTGAGCTCTAGAGAGGTCAGTGGTTAAGGCGCTAATTTACTGACCGGAAGGTCCGTGATTCGAACCCAACCTCACCATCTCCCGTCTAGGATAGGTCAACTTGACGGTAGCTCAGATTTCGTGCTTCTTCCGGTGGCATGTCAGCTAGACACCGAAAAGGTTTTGTTTGGTCTAAATTTGATATGCTACAGCAACTTTACCTCCCGACTTTGAAGGCACCATTGCTGGTGAAGGCCAAACCTTCTAGGGTGGGGAGTTGTCTGTGGATTTCACACCATGTCATATCACATTTATAAAATCTAGAAGCCGAACTCAGTATTCTCCGTAAAGGGGAGTATGTGCGGTCGTGCGGCTTGTTTTGGTTAACAATTTCCATGGGTCGTTTGACTGTACACCGGTCAACTGATGTATCACCGATTAATTCCTGTCACCGTAATTGTGTAAAATTGAAAGCTTGATATCCATTATCGCACTTTAATGCGGCGAGCTTTGTGTAAACGCGAGTTGTTTGTTAAGCACTATTTCCGTTTCTGAATCGGATTACTGCTTTCGGCCACCAGACTAACCCCTACCCAACCTTCGTTTTGAGGCAAGTATTTGGTTGTCACTAAGGGTTTTAATTCTTACATTCTGTCGGAGATAAAGTTTGAATGATTCACCCTCTAACAGTGCCTCATTTGATGAGCTGCTCGTCCAGTTCGTCCTACTCAATTGACTTAGAATTGACTGAAATACCGCCTGCAAATCTAGCGTACATTTGGCAAGTGGACAGTGTTCAGACAAGACGAATGTCACTTCGTCTGCATAACGTGAGAAAAACTCGAGATCATAGTAAATACAGGCTCTATTCCATTCTAGAACACCGTAGTCCAGTTTGAAAGGATGTTTGTCTAGAACGGTGTTATTGGCGTTGATTGCATGAAGCAGGCTTCATTCTTAATCAAACGGAATTTCAAACCAGCCGAGGAGTTAACGTCGCAAGATAGTTTGGTAGACAACAAATAAATCCATCGATTGTTCGCCAAGTTTTTCCGAAAAGGTTCCATTCCGGCATGTCTTGATTCTGGTGTACATTGTAACAAAACGTATGTAAATATGTTTACGGCAATAGGTTTCCGAACTTACTGTTGTTGCTACCATAGCTCAAACACGTCTAAGTATTTCTGATCAGCACATGACCACACTACATTCTCATAGTGTTTGCGGTATTTCTGAGCAATCGTGTGTCCGACTTTCTGTTATTTCAAATACAACATATGCTAAGCATCTTGCCATAAAAGGCTTGGTTTGTCCTTTTCAGGCCAAGCATTAAACCGATTTTTCAGTCCATTGCGGCCAAGGCCAAAACCGGTGAACCCTGCTGCGATTGGGTGAGTGCCTCTATCTTGTTTTTTATTTGTTCTTCATGCGGTAGCTGTTGATCAATACACTCAACTAGCGACGAAACGCTTGCTATCCGATTTTCATGCGTAGAGACGCTTATGAACATCCACCTGCTCAGACACCTGAGCTACCAATTGTTCGACGCACTGCAAATCTCGTTTCTCTAACGTAGATGACGGTATCGATGCACCCTGTCCTGCAATGGAATTGCAACACAAGCCTAAGGAAATTTGTTGAGAAGTATGAATCCGAATTCACACAGCTCATCACACACCGCTAACAGGAGTAGCCTAGTTTAAAAAAACTTTATGAGTCACCTTTCGCTGTTCCTAATGGATTTTTGTGCGCGTTTACGGTGACATCACATTTAACGGCACCTTCTTCCATCTGCTCAACAACTGGTTTGACGAATTTAAAGCTGAAGTTCCCAAGTCGTTTGTCGTTAATGAGGCTGGCGAGAGTGTAACCATCTACAGGCACACCATTTAGTTATTATAAGGTATCCTTCGAGGAACTCGGTCAGCAATAGCTGACTTGCTACTGTACTAGCATAAACCAAGTCCTCCAAGTGAAAGAAGGCTGGTTTGCAGTTGAAATGCTTGACTGGACACATTCCAAGACCTATTTGATCCAATCTAAGTCCGATTTCGCAAACCTTTGAAATCGTTGGAGTTTAGATCATTAGCGTTTAGACTGGTACTCACCGGAAAGCCGATTGAACACCAGTGGGTATTCACCTGAATTGCTTTTCGATGCCTGGCTCAACAGTTCAGATGTTGACCTCTTATGGAAACGAACGAGCCATCTTTTTAGTGACAGTTCGCCCAAGGGAGGCTGGGTTTGCCTGTTCAACGGATTAACTGGAATAAGTTTCGGGTGTTCCATATTTCCTCAATGCATTGGGAATTTACTTCCATGCAGGACTCAATTGGGAGGCGTTGTGAGATGATTTTGGTACACTTGTTCCACTCCGTAAGAAGCCATACCATGCATACATATTTCAGATGCCTCCAAGTGGTGCGTAGGAAGTGTACGATCCAGGTTAACCCATTGTCCCTGAACGAAACTCATTGAATAACTGATTCACACCAAGCATAGCTGATTTAAATATTGTCCATTGACGTTTTAGGCTAAATCATATTTTGGGGCACCACGCAGTCCAATGATCCCAGCTGTTTCGGAAATCTCTAGTACCGAAACAGCCTATCGTTAACACATAGTTGTAGCTTTCTTCGTCCGTTGTCATTTCGTAGAGATTCTTATGCAAGACGGCTAACCAAATGGAAGTCAGTACGTATTTATATCTTCAGGGAATACGGTGATATGTCAGCTTCTAGCTCACCGTACTAAGGCTCTCAAAGCATCGTAGATGCCGTTTTTGCCACGGACTTTTGGGCCGCCAGCAGATACAACGGATAAGCGTAGTAATCGGTCTGTTGCGCGGATGCTTTCACAGACTTCAAACGAACCGCGGGGAGGTGATCATTGATGAGCGTCCAGTCAAGCAAACATCGCTTCGGTAACTTACAACACCGTGAGCCTCAGTAACTTCTGGATTGCCATAAATGTGCAATCTGAAGCGAGAAAAACTGATGGAGTAGTCGATCAGCCAACTATACTTGAGTTTTGAGTCCTTATTACGGACAGGCAGCGCATGTTACTGTGGAGTAACCCCAGCGTAAGAGCAAGGGGAGTCTGTTGTCTGGCTCCTTCCAGAGTGCAGCCAAATACACTGAACGTCGGAGCTTGACGACAGAGTTCGAAGTGGCCAAGGCTGTGGTTGCCGCGTAACGCGTGGATATCCGGGATAATGTTGAACGGAACTGCTAAGCCCTAAATTATACATCGTTCAACTGTGGTACCTCTCAGGTCTATAGCTGTTTTGCGTTTGTCGTTGTCAATGTACTGACGAGAACATTCTTGTCAGTAATTTGGATTTTCAAAGAAGGATGCACATTTGAGAGAAAAACAAAGCGATCCGACTGGTAACATCACTCGATGGCCTTTGTGCAATGAAGTTGGTCTTGTAGTTCGTGGTTGTGCTGCGGTCACTGAAACCCACTCTATTACTCTGTAGCTTACGAACGTGTGATACGTGAATAGCGGTGAAATAAATGTATTGATTCATCTAGAGTTGTTTCGCGGTTGTGCAGTTCGACTATGTTTGGTAGAAAAGATAATAGAATCGTTTGTCTTTTGCGATCTATTGTGTATATACCACTGGACAGGTTTGCTCTACGCATTCTGCTTGGTGAATGCATCACTTTTGACTAATAACAATTTTTTCTGTGTAGACCGGATCGGGTGGTGCCGGGCATTTTGTCAAAATGGTCCATAATGGAATTGAATATGGGGATATGCAGCTCATTGCAGAAGCATACCACCTCATGCGCGAAGTTGGCGGTCTGTCCAATCAGGAGATGTCGCAAGTGGGTTACAGTAGTTGAACATACCGTCCAATCCATTAGTCCATCCTGCAACATGTAGTACCATTGGCCTTGTTCTGTCTCGTTTCTTCGCTTGCCTTTCTAAGATATTAAGTACTGGCTACTTAACTAATCGATTTTACTGTAATTGAGGAACAATTTTTGCTTCTCGCTTGTTTGAGCATTTTTCTGCCATACAATCAATCCACACTGGGTATCTTTCGAATCGTTTAGTTAACCGCGAATTGGTCATTTACGCCTCATCTCACAAACTCCAACATCTAAAAGTCGCTTTCGCATAGTCTTCGTGTGAACGGTATTCGCCACATGACCTACCACTCAGGGCCGAGTTTGAAACCCAGTGAATAGTAAGCGGTATGTGGTATCCTGTCTTTTGAACTTTGTTATTCTATTGTTTCCGGAATTCCTTCCGGAGAAGGGCTTTCCCTTGGTCAGATTTCTTATTTCCAAAGCTCTGTTAGTTTTTGTTGTCTCTATCTCAGCCGTGGTCATGCTGGGGAAGCTGTTTAATTTGTGCAGTGTTTCTTGTTAGCGTAGTGCGTATCTAGTGTTTCGACCACCCGTAAACCACAGTCTATTAAGACGTTTGTGATTCATACTTGGTGCGATTGATCCACGTCTTTATTGACGCGAGTAGGGGTAGCAATGTTGATCTTCGCATTGTTTCAGAGTGACTGTTACTCTGACTATCTTGGTATGAACGACGTAAAGTAACATTGCTTTAGTTGAAAGATTTGAAGAGAGAAAGCATAAACTGCACCTCCGCAGTCAATGTGATCCACTATGTCGAGCTATTCAGCACCAATCCTTTCGACGTGCAAAAAATATAGCATTTCGGTGGGGTTGATACAAACTACTCAATTTGGCTAAGGGGTTGGATATTTATAAAACTCCCAGCAACGGGTCTTCCATGGCGGCACAATGAGCCAGCCTCCGCTGCGAAGTTCCTTGTCAACGTTGACTCGATCCGTGGATGCTGGCGTATGGTTCGTATGCCACTGGCTGTCATGAGCATCCGCGTTGTGGTTGGCACCCAGTGCGTCGCCAGTCCAGTCCTCTGCATACTGTATCACGCGTTGTTATAAAGACACCTGCGCGCGATTTACCTTGTATATTTTCATTAGACGGTCGCCTTACTCTGTTCGACCGTGCCAAGTAGGTGTCATTACTTACCACCACTTCATTTAAGTTCTGGTAAATATGCCCCATGTTATTTGTTGAATTCACTCACTTTTGTTGCAATGACCCCAAAGGTTTTAGTTTCCCGCTGACTGTCTCCAAATCGTTTGAACATTCCATGTTTAGTGGTTTCGCTTCGAACAATGGTGCGCTATCACTCAGGTATTGGGGCGAGATGGCTCAGTGGTTAAAGCTCGAATTTACTGACCGGAAGGTCCGTGGTTCGAACCCAACCTCTGCATCTTGACTTCTTCTGTCTAGACAGGGACAACCTGGCGGTATCCCAGCCCTCGTGCTTCCTTCTGGTGGCATGGCGGCGAGGCACCGAATGGGTGTTACAGCTGAACGATTTATTTTATTGTTCAGGTGTTCAAGAAATGGAATGAAGGCCCGTTGGAATCGTACCTTATCGAAATTACCGGACACATTTTGTCATTCGAGGATAAAGATGGCTCAATGCTGATCGATCACATTTTGGATACTGCTGGACAGGTTTGTCGTGATCTCGGTTCCTCCACAACTTGTATTGTCCCATCACTTCTTCATGTGGCATCTTGTCCTAGTATGGCATTTAATTTGCTCTAATCTTTCCTCGTTTTTCCGATTAGGGGTAGTTAACGCACTCAGAGAGTGGTAGTCCCCTGAGCAGGACATATTTTTCTAAATTCGGACTGGTTTTTGCAGTGTGGGGAAAAGGGGACACGCCCTTTCGATATCCTTCAAACGTAAGTATGGGAAGGGCGACTGTGTATTTGGCTTAGGAGGGGTCACGGAAACGGCCAAAAATATTCTGAATTGCTATGGAAGAGAATATTGAAAGCGTAATTTAGGTAATTGGTCGTTGTTTTTTTCGTTGGGCTGGGCGATTAGTTTGCACAAAGTGCCTATTTCAGAAAACAAACCAAACCTCTTATTATGAAATCGTTGACAGTTTACAAAAACCTAACGGCAGTTCGCCTTGAGTAGGACAATACACTTCTCAATACGAAGGTTGACCCCTTGTGTGGATGTCTTTTAGTTCCAAAACTATACATTCGTGTACAGACATCTTATGTTACACCTGTTGCCTCTGACAACTGGTCTGGGGGCATCCTTATGATTAGTTGCAACACGATTATGAAGAATAACGAGATTTCACTGCAACGCCACCGTATAGATGAATCCTCTACAATAAAAGCTGAAAAATGCGGTTGAATCCAGCACGGTTGTTGTGTCACACAGTGAAACACTCAGTTTAGAAACTGACGGAAAGTGAGCAGTTGCAACCAACGAGTTGATGTGCAAGGAACGTCACATAGACCCCGTTCTGAATGACGGCTTGTATCAGTGCTATCCAGAATCTGTTATTTTCCTCAAACCTCACCACTTGAGTCATTTGTTAGGATGTCCCAATTTTAGAGGGTAAATTATTCGATTCAATGTGACAACTGGGCGGATCATGGAGTTCGCAGTTTTCCAAGAAACGATAACCGTTACTGGTCAGAAATGTACAATCTTCAGGTTGCAGTGTGATTCAGAAGCATGGAACGAAAAATGAATCGCTTCATTGTCAACTACATAGTAGCCGCGACTCACGGTGAAGCAATTCATTCGTCTCAGTCACTCAATACTTGGTTTCGGATGACCGAACAACGTAGGATTGCGAGCGCACTCTGGAGGCCACATGCCGGTTCATCTGTGAATATACAACCGTTGTTGTTCATCTCCAAAGTCAATGGAATTCAGTCGAATAAAGTCTTAGCTAATAGCCACGTAGAAAAATTGTTCGTTCGAAGTCCTTTTGGCAGAACCACGCAAAGGGTGGAAACGAGCCATAGGAGATCAAGCAATGACTTGCAGTGAAGTATGAAATCCATTACCAGCAAACTCAGTTGGGAAAAGGCACTCAACTTCGTTTTCTGAGTGATCATATTCGATATCACTGAAGCGCTGCCCTTGTACAACTCAGGGTTTGTAGCTCAAGCTGTTAGGGAAGAGGCTCATGCTCTTGTGATAAGGCACCCAGTAGTATCCCAGTCCTTGTGCATACTTCGATCCTGACGGTGTCTGCTTATCGAAAGACCACAATTGTTGAACGAACGACGAGTGTAACCTTCACTACGATGTCAACTTGTTCTAGCAAAGACTCAAGCTCTTCTACAATGCCTCCTTATTCAGCCTTCATAGCTGTCGCAGGACCTTTGACTGAGAGGTCTGTCCCATCTTACTGATCAACTATTTCCTTCGGTCACAAGTTTATGTATCTCTGCGTAGCTGTTTAAATGTGACAAATCAACAAACGAGTTGAAGATGGCAGAGGACATTGTCCCGTCAACAAGCTAATTGAGTATTTCCTCATTTCTGTACGTATCCTTGTTGAAGACCCTTGATGTAAAGGCTAGTGAGGTGACCTTCGGTGTATCTACGAATTCTGTTATCTCGTCTGTGTTTTTATCGGTTGACTTTTGTTGCCTCGTCATCTTTGTAGAAAGGAACCGGAAAATGGACTGCGATTTGTGGTCTGGAACGTGGCTCACCCATAACATTGATAGGTACGTGTTTGTGTTTACATTGTTAGTCAATAATTTAAAAATTCCACTGTAGCCTTCAGACAATGTACTAATTAGACGTTGTGCATGACGAAGTGGTATCGAGCAACGTCTGTACCTCCTTTTAATGCATGTTTCATATTCAGTCTTACTCTGTACCAAGCATACCGAACTGACGATAGTCATCGATGTCTTCCAGTTGTCCGGTTTTTCCACACTCAATGTTGTTAAACACATTTTGAAGTGGGAAGGGAATCTGGTAAAACGCGGGTTTTGATGATAGAGTTGATCACCCAGGTGCTATGCTAGTTGAAATCCTTCTTGGAACTAGCTAAAGTCATCCGCATGTGAATTTCACAAAAGACTCTAACCGCCCAGCTGTAAAACCCTTTCGGTGCCTAGCTGCTGTGCCACCTGAAGGAAGCATGAGGGCTGGGATACTGCCTGGTTGCCCAAGCCTAGACAGGGGAAGTCGAGATGCAAAGTTCGGGTTCGAACCACTGATCTTCCGGTCAGTAAATTTGCACTCCAACCACTGAGCCATCTTGCCCCGAACTCTACAAGTAAAGAAATGGATACGGTGTGGCCAGAATTTATCTAATACGGCAAATTTGACCGACTGAATCCTGGTGAAATTGCTTGTTTGGTATTTTAGCAAGTGGCTTTGGTAGTGCACGTCTACCTAGGTGGTGTGTTGTGAGCATAGTGTTTCAAAATAGTGTGTTTATCACAAATGTAGATCCACGATAATGGCTTCGCGGGTGTGACAATCGAAGGACGAGGTACCTATTGTGGTATTCGACAAATCTCGGTTGAAATTACCGTAACAAGCCCTAGTATACTTGAAGTTCCAGTATGGCGTGAACCATGCGATATAGGTCACCACGGTCCGTGGGGTAGTCCTTAAGATTACAGCGTATAGATATGTGGATGGATATTTTAACCTATGGTCAACATTTTCGTTGTAGCTCAGTCAAGAGTTTAATTCCTGTACAGTTGAACTAGGTTCCGTACTCTACTAACCCGAAAAATCGCCGGTGTGCGGACTACTGTAAGGACAGATCAGTCTGTTTTCATAAACACAAAGTTCACCAAGTTTGCGACTTCGTTGGCTGCTGTTGGTCAATAGCCCCTACTCTGAAGGCTTCGGGCTTGTTACAACTGGTAGTTCCCTGTTTGAGTTTGCTTTCTCTGTGCTTAAACTCCAACTGAACCTGTTGAACTCGTACAGCAGTATTGTCACCAGTCTTCCATTTGCAAATCCACAGACTTTCGGCATTGTCCGGTATGTTGAGCAGACACAGCATAGTTGGCGTTCCTTTCCGTTAGTTCTTTCAGCCTTGGAACTAAGCATTGCGCATGTTGTGATCTGTCACTTTATTTTCTTCAGCTGAGGCGGTCTTTTCTCGAATACTGTCGTCGATGCATGATGCTCGTGTCGAAGCTTCCAAAGTTTTACCTGCTGTGTCGAAATCAGGTCCTGTGGACAAAAAGGAGTTTGTGGAAAAAGTTAGACAGGTCAGTTTTTGATCCACGTTGACATCTAGGGAATTAGGAAAAAAGTTCAATAAAGATTTTCCTTGCTTCTAGACTCACTCAGTTTTCTGAGACCGATATATGACTGAAGACGATGGACAGTGAAATGCTTTCACATTGAGTTTAATCATGGCGATGAGTTGGGGATATGCTTGCCTTTATGGGTTGTGTGAAGATTTGCTAATCACGGTAGATAACCTTCATGGCATTGATGAACGTGGTGCAGTTTAAATTCAGGGGTGGCCACGTCAATAGAATCAACTTCAGGCGGAACAGTAGCGCCCCACAATGCAACTGGGTCTCATGAAACACCGGACGTACCTCTGAAGTTGAGGGCTTAGTCAGAGCCATTGATCGGGTACGGACCGACAAGCCACAGCAGCTCCCAAAGCCATCACAAATCGAATCGAAGCAGCAGTCGGATGAACAGCGTCCTCAAGGGGAAGGTGTCCGGAGGCGAGCCTGTAAAGTCAACGCAACCTTACATCTGACCAGTATGCATCTGAGTTTGGTCCAATGTCTGCTCCAATTTCAACCGTCAAACAAATCCGTCTTCGGAAGCATTAAATCCTAATAGCCTGTTGCGAGTACATACCAACATATGTTTAAGACCGCGGACTTTGTTTCTTTTGAAGACCAGAAACTCTCAGTACAATGCAACGGGCTTTCTTCTACCTTGAGTTTTGTCTGGATCTATGTTGTCAGCTCTAGCGGTAGGAAAATACGGTAGACGTCTTCAAGACCAGAAAAAACATTCTACGACTTCCACAGACCTCAACAGACCAAGAAATACTTTTGCAACAAAAGCTCCAAATGTCATTCGCTCGGATACGGTACATACCATCATAGATTGCCGTTTGTTTGTTCGCTGAGGTGGGAATCTTAATTCATTTGTCCCATCTAAATGTACCGTGACTATGTTCACACTGGGGCGGGGTAGACATTTTGGGACTAGATCATCCAACTACTATCACTAATTGCCCACTACCTCAAGCTAATTGTATAATACGTTTTAGTATTGTGCTGTCTGTCCTCTGACTTGGCACGGTGTGACCACAGGGAATTCGGTTCAAACACCTTTGAAAAGGAGGTTACGTTAAATTACTCTCAAATTACATACGAAAGTTAGGAATGCTCAATCAAACATCGGATGCATTATGCGACATTCCTCATGATTTCCAAGATTATCATCGAAGTGAAGTGACGAAGCATCCTTTGCTTTTTGATGCACAACATTCTTCAGGCTTTTGCGTGAAGTTGAACGCAACAAACAGGTCACCAGCATTGGATGTCAAATCAGTGTGAAGCAGCGTCCAAATGCCTCGAAGTAATCACAGCGGAATAATATGTTATGCAAATTAAATCCCATGACATCATCATGGCATAATTCTGCTCTGGCTAGTCAGACAGAATCAGCTCTTGTTTATCGCGGAGTAGGCTCCCAGGCCGGACGACTTTTTGGTTTCGGTTTGGTCACTGCCAGTCGGTCACTGACAAACCTGCCTTTCGCGTCCGTCCTGCTTGGGCTGACGAGACTTCTTCCATTCGTCTCCCTCGGTATCAGGTCAGGATCCTCATGAATGCTGTACCTCGGATACCCACCTGGTTAACACCAAGGTCTTGCTCTCGTCCTGGCTTCAAGCCAGCCTAACACATATACACCAATCAACTTTAGTGCCTTGTCTATGGATTCTTTGATAAGCTTCATTTACAGAAAATTTCCAAATCTCACACTACTAACAATCTTTGAGTGGTTCAGAGGAAGGATAAGATTCTTTGAAAGCTTCATTTACAGAAAAATTACAAATCTCACACTACTAACAATCTTTGAGTGGTTCAGAGGAAGGATAACTTCGCAAGACGGTGAAACTCCAACCTGATAGGTCGTTACTCAAGGACTAGTCATAACCTGAGCATACGATGTGCAGTCCATGATTGACGGATGAGGGGTGATGTATCCTGTCCAAATACGAGTTAATCACAATACTGATCAGCCGCTGGTGGTCGAAGGTTTAGGTGTCCCAACTACTAGCTGAGATGTCGTGGGCTCGATACGTCCTGTAGTTCCGTGAGGTACATACTACTTATTATTCCCAATGATGGTGAGACATTTTCACAGTGTTTTTCGGCTTTATACCGTAGATTGCCTTCACTTACAGGGTGAAATCTCAGTTGAAACAGTTTCAGCCGTTTGACGAACAGGCCAACAGCCACCTAATCGACAACCAAGTTTCCGATGCAGCCAGTCTTGCCTTTAAGTATAGTTCAAAGATGCATGAATGTGTATGTCTATTTACTACGTCCATCGAATGCCCGTATGACTTAATGGGTTGCTCGGATTTCACGAAGAGACACACGTGGGAGTTCCTCAATCTTGGAGCACTTTACTTGCATCTCGAGGGATGATAAGCTTGCTGTTGGGACGGCTGCTTCCTGCACAGTTTGCAAACAACCTCGAGACCTCTCTCATGTGATATCGAGTGACTCATGTGAAAGTGCAATAGCAAGCCAAAAGAGAGAAGGATTTTCTACACTGGCTATTGCTGTGTGGTAAGTTTATCAGACGGATCATCGTGTGACAAAAGTGTTGTCTGCTGGGGAAGCAGTCGTATTTCACAAAGGTAAAAGCTGCATGTGTTCTCAAAATCCCTTTAATAGAAACAAAGAAAATACGAACACAGACGACAGACAGGAGATTCATATATTGCATCAGCAAAATGACGGGTTTTAAATATTCTAAGTCATGTGGATAACGTCCTGGTCACAAGGGCGGACAAGAGCAGGCCAATGTTGTTATTTTTAAGGTACATTATCTGCTGATGGCCTATCCTTACCTAACTGGTTTGTTTTAGCTAGAAACCAATGATGGAGCAATTTCATCAATAATGAGAAAAGTGAGGCTGAAGTGCAGAGTTGCTTACTTCGTTTGGGCCAAGGCAAGAAGTATCGGTTATACTGCCAAATTGCAGTCGACGACTTTGCGAACTGCCGATAATTCCCAAGGCAGGCGCCCCCATAGGACCACAGGTTTACCAGCACATGACCTGGCCAAATTCGTAGCAGGTACCCTTAAACCAATTGCCCGTAAGCGATTCAGGCGCGCCCGGAAGTCACTTGGTTTTGTCCCAAAGATAACCGGCCTGTTCTTTTAGTTTTGTTAACAACTTGGTGTGCACACATTTCCCTAAGACAGATGATGACAGCGAAGCTATTATCAGACACAAAGGATGAGGACAAACGCAATTTGGTATGGATGAGATTGTTGAATGAACCAGAATGTCACTGTGTTTTGAACGCAGTTAGTTATTTTCTAGCGGAAGGGTCTCCAATATCCCCGTCAAGCTAATCTAAGTACTAAAATCAAAGCTGAGTAAGCTTTTTTAAATGCATGTTGAGATCGCCGAGCAAGCTTATATTAACTTCGCCGTATAAACCAAACAAGGATGTTCCTCCCAGTTGCAAGGAAACTCAATGGAGGTCACAGGAGGAAGTAAAGCAATCAAAATAACGACTGTTCTATCAGTCTTTTGAAACAAATTCTTGACACTTATATTTGAATTTCACGCATTATTTGGTGAGTTGGATTGGAAATATCAGTCAGTCGCAGATAGGAACGGAAAATCGTGTTTCCTTGTTAGCGATATTCGCGCATCGAGTTTCCTGTTGGATTTGTCGCATGGACTGAACTGAGAGACCAGTTACGTGAAACCTTCGCCTTGTATTTCTTGGAATAGTTTGTAGAAGTGATATTTTTACCGCGGGGTTTTTCGCTCCTTCGCGCCCACCTCACCACTATGTACCCCTTTGTACCTCAATTTGCCCATCAGGCTCTGTTTGCGTCGAAGGTTATTTCATATACTCAAGGTTTCATGCTACTTCATCGTGCTCACGTCGAGTTCGGGTGGAAATTGGATCTGGGTGCGATCGCCCTGATGTGGCGAGGTGGCTGTATCATCCGAAGGTAAGCTACTCAATATCTCTTAGTAATAAAGATAAACTGACAATCTCCATATGAACAGAATCTGTCTACCAGACTTCGATCTGCCAAGTAATGCGTTAGTGTACAACTAAAAACAGGTTGAGGATTAACAATCTCATATAGACAAAGTCGAATCAAAACTTGAAAACCCAGGAAGGGCTTTTTCCAAAAAAAATTTTGATGCCACCATGCCCATTTTGGTATTTTCGCAAACTAACGGATCATGGCGTTCATTTCCATACGACAAATACTCCATTCGATATCAGGGTATAGATGATTGCCTTTTGCCCAAAGTCTCTCGACAATACTTCGATCCACTAAGTGCAAGTCCAGTCAGTCCAAGCGGCCAGGTAGTCAGTTGCTAGGTAACTTCAGGCGGCCTATATCAAGGTAGTGTGACCCTGCAAATGGCGTCGGATGTCTGCTCAAAGCCACTTTCGCTTAAAAACTATCAACATTTCGAAGTCGTATCTGGAAGTGCGTTTTATAGTACCTGGATGCAAAGCGTTTCTGTTTTTTAGCACTGGATGTTGATTATGACTGTCGAGAACTGATTTATTAACTACACAACTCTTTTCCTCTCCGACGTAACAGTAAGTTCCTGGGAAATATCAAGGAAGCCTTTGTCAAGAACTCGGAGCTAGGGAATCTCCTACTCGATCCGTTTTTCACCAACATCATCAAAGATTGCCAGGTAAGTACACCTTGTTCCCTCCAGGTCGAACTTCTAGTTAAGAATAACATGCGGAATTCACTAACCCGCGATTTTCTCCCTCATTGTCATTAGTGCGATATACAAAAAACACGTGCTGCGATGGAAACACGACTCCTTGATGATAAACCACGTTGGCTTCATTACGTTTCACAATCGTTGTTATCCTTGTGCACAACAGCCACCAGTCTAGATGACACTTGTAGATCTGTTACTCCCAGGTTATCAATCTCATTGCTCACTTCTCGTTCTGATAGGCTAACGTCTACGTTGTATTTCCATTGCTCTACTTAGGCTGCCTGGCGAGAAGTTGTTGCGACAGCCGCCTTGAACGGGGTCCCAGTACCGGCTTTCAGCTCAGCTCTGGCGTTTTATGATGGGATGCGTTGTCCTCGGCTTCCTGCCAATTTGCTTCAGGTTAGTGTGACGGAATCAACACCACATTATAATCCACTCTATCCCCTTGGCTTCTTACCAGGTTTTCACTCTTTCTGACGTTGCCTACTGAATTTTTTATACGCCTGTCTCTGTACTAAACTCAACATCGCTTTGCGGCTGAACAGTTGAGCAACTACATGTGGTGGTGCCTTTTTGCATGTGTCCCATGATGCAACAATCACAGACACGCCTTCGTTTTCTAGTAAATTAATGTTAACTTCGTATTCATCACCTAGCGAACTAATGCATCGCATGAAATCGAACCCATGTGATTGTACAAAGCTGGTTATTTCAGTGGAATAGACATGCATGCACTACAACAATCACCTTTCGGAGGTGCCATTCAATCTGCTCCCGTTCTAGTATGTGCTTCAACTTTTTTGCGGAAGACTAGGGCCTTTAAATGTCACGAAACTCCCGAGTAGTCACAAAGTGAAAATATAATTGTGAATGGTAGGATAAAGAATTTTCCATAGCATTTGTTCGGCGAACTAGGCGTTTTCTATTGCCGTTGAAATTTCTATTAAAAAAGTGCCCCTAAATATATTCTGTTGCTTTCTTGAGTTCACCCCTGTGTCGTAGTTTCAATCACAACTGCTGGTGCATGTGCTTTCCAATGAGGATACAGTGTCGCAACCACTTTAGAGGCATATTCAGAACCTATTTTCTCTTCCCAGAAAATTAGCCAAGATCGTCCATTGTTCACTCAAATGACAGATTCCAGAGTACATATCAGATATTAAAATGGGGAAAATAAATGGTTGGGGATTATTTTCTCGCGATTGTCCCTGAATCGGAAAGTGTTCTTTATAATACGCAGGTTCAAAGCGTTTATCTAGGAAGATGACTATGGGTTTCCGTAATTACACAAACGAATTCGCGTCAATGATTGTCACCCCTCAAAACGACCCTAGTTCTGGGGATCCATAAGATGCATAGTGATAGTTCTTATGCAAATATAAAGTAACTGCAGTACAGACTGATTTGGTTTTACACTCCAAAACCTTAAGCTGAAACTTCCAAAGCCATTAAAAAGCCTATGAATTTTGGATTAGCTGCAACGAGTTACTAATTACTTGGTGGCGTATTCAACCGATTTAGTTTGTCTGACTTCGTCTTCTCGTTTCGCCATCCCAGAACGGGAGTCCGTAGCACTGCGAAGAAACGAATCGACGCTGTGAATTAGTGCTTCCTAATTCAGTATCAAATGCACCCGTATTCACACATCGGGTTAATCTGTTTTTGCTCTTGGCAACTGAATGTACAGCAGACTACGGTGGTCAATTCTTAGGAGCGCCTTTCATCCGTAAACTTGTCATCATGTCTTTCCGCGACACTCAATGTTTTCCGCGTTTTTTCGGTTTCAGGCTCAACGGGACTACTTTGGTGCGCATCAGTTTGAGCGTATCGAGAATCCTGGCACGTTTGTGCATGCAGATTGGACCGGACACGGCGGATCGGTGGCATCAAGTACCTATCAGGCATGATAGCACAACTGATGTATTTTGATAGACAAAACTAACTCTATTTCCCTGTCGACACTAGACTGATAAGCTATCCATATTGCTTTGAAATTTTACATTTCATTAACGTTGTGATAAAAAACATCGTGGTTAGCGTTGTTTTCATTTTCTTTTCACTTCTCTGGGGCATGCGTGCTCGGTGGAGAAAGACGGTGGAGTTAGGATTCGGTTGACCAACAATGAGGATTAATCCGAATCGTCATCCGAAAGATAGGAAGTGTGTTTTTCTTCGTCTGCAGGTGCCGCGTCTGCTTGACGCTCGGGGTTGGCAGAAGTGGTTGTTTTGGAGACGTTGCTTGCGGATGTAGGTTTAGCACTTTTCCCCTCACATGCTACAATTTTGATCTGGAATCACATGGAAAAGAAAGATTACACCGGTCTGAAAATACAGTGGATGTGGCATAATGGTGACAAAAACGGGAATTAGTGAGAATGCCTAATTATTCCTAGCTGTTTGAGATGCTCTACACGTACTACCGAGGTCATAATACACTGATTATGTACGTAGGCTGGGAATATTGCTGTATGAGGGAATTCGCTGGGACAAATCCTGATAACAGGAATACCTCAGTTCTCGGTCTGATACCCCAGGCTAGTTTTTCCAGCAAAAATCACCAAGGGTCATAGAACCAAGTCAGAAACATGGATACCGCGTCGTATTTGAATTAGATTCAGCGACAACCATTGGCAACCGGCACTCAGCGGATACTGAACCATGATTGACCGTTAGGTCCACACTTCCAGCTAATCAGAGCTCACCTCAATTCTGAACCAGCAAGCGACCCTATCATCTGACCAATCACGTGCGAGTTTGGCTTCTTGGCCGAACACCAATGCAGCCCATAAGTGTGGGCGGATTGGGTTCAGGATACCGCCTAATGCAAATATGGGTAACAGTCGTAGCAAGCACCTTCAAGATGTAAGCAAGAATGAGCCAAATGACGATTCTAGAGGAAGCAAATTATCTGGAATATTAATAAATCGTTTCGCTGTAACACCCCTTCGGTGCCTAGCTGCCATGCCACCCAAACGAAATACGAGGGCTGGGATACTGCCAGACTGCCCAAGCCTAGACAGAGGAAGTCGAGAGGCAAAAGTCGGGTTCGAACCGCAGACCTTCCGGTCAGTGAGTTAGTGCTCTAACCACTGAGCCATCTCGCCCCGGGTGAGTTAGTGCCTAACCACTGAGCCATCTCGCCCCGGGTATACAGCCCGGTAAATCAGCGAAAACAAGAAAAAGTTCTCGACCGTGTAAACTCTTATATTTGTCCCTACTCTAGTCCCGGAAAAAACGCCGAAGAAAACAGCTTCATCGCAACAAGCTAGTGCAAAAGTCACAACGACCCCGCGCTATTTAAAGGGGGCTTATCGACGTTGGTCCAGGCTGTCTGATCAACGCTTAGTGAACGCCAACATCGACAACATCTATGAAATGCCTGAACACTGACAATAGTCGGTCGTGCTTCTGTGGCGTGCCCGAACACTCATCGGCTTTTGCTGAATTTATTGAGTGATTGAATGGTCTGGATACTTTCTGGGTTCCCTATTGAGATTTTGGTGGAGGTTTGGGGTCTCAGTAGGTTCTGGGCATTCTGGGGTTATTCTCAGAAATCCGACCTTCCGGACATGAACAGTGACAGCTATCTTAAACTTCCGGCAACCAGGGTCCTGATGCTGTATCCACTATTGCATATTGTTGCTTGTAAACACTGTTGTGCAATGAAGTTATGTACGGGTCCTAATCATCTTATACTAGACCTTTCCGAAGTACTGTCTGGCTCTCATTGCCGATGCAGTAATGTTTGGGTACGTCAGCAATTGGCCACTGGTTTGCTCATCGACCTGGGTGACTTACTTCAACCGGATTGCCCATCTTAGCAAACAAACCAACAGTCAGCATTAAACATGAGCTACTTTCTCCCTAACTATAATGAATATGCCATTGGAGTGCGGTTTACGGTTTCCAAACCGAAATTGGGATTTGCGAGAAGCCGTCCACGAGGCCTTTTGATGCATTGCTTCTATACAGGTAGGAAGAAGCACAGGAGCTCAGACAGCTTGGCTACTCAAGTCTGACCTAAACAGAGGCATGCAATAGACGGCTGGTTCGAGGAAGCAAATTTTATANCATGCAATAGACGGCTGGTTCGAGGAAGCCTCATTGCACGGTCGTCAGCCTCATGCACATGGTCTTAAGTTTACTGATGGGATCTAGAAAGAATTCGTTTATTGAGATGTACTTAATCCATCTACGGTCGAAGGGAAAGTCAGGCATAGGACGATTACAGGCATCTCCGTTGGGGGCTCTTACCTTAAACTGGTTGAGTCCGATTAGGTGAGAGGGGAATGACACAACTGGAAGCGTGTCAATGACCTAGCTTTTTACATTTTGAGCTGTTCGCAAATTTTATACCGAAGATGACGCTGCTCCGTACCGTAGTTAGCGTTTGTCGTTGGAAGTGGTGAGGTGGTAGCAATCACACTGAGCATGGAAGGGACCAAAAGTCAAAAGCTCCTTTAAGTTCTGACACCCACCCGTGTGTGCGAATGCTCTTCGGTTTTGCTACTTGCGAGTTCAGTAGCCGGTTCTCGGGCAGCTCAAATAACTCGTGTGGTCCCCAGTGATGGAAATCTGACTCATACAGCTAGTCAAGTAAGTGTTCCACTCACGAATTTCAGACTCGATAAACCTTGAGTATAAGGTAGGTAGCTATAGGAAACGGGCATTCGGAGAAGCACCAGACTCTTGACAGTTCTATCGGAATATGAAATTGGACCTGGATAAACTACCTTTATCAGGCCCCAAAAAGACGTTTAACTCTCAAGGAGCTTTCTGTCAGGAAAATGTTCGGAAAGATGACCCAAAATCTGCGGCCTGAGATGGCTGGAGGACCTATGACTACCCGGCTGCACACTGAGGAGAAACGCGCCTTGAGTGATCAGCCTACCTACCAGGAAAAATCAAGCGCTTCAGCAAGGTGCTTTTCACTCCATCGGGAAGACAAGCACAATCGTTTTCCAGTGGACAGAGTACCTTAAGAAAGAACTGCAAGATATGTGAGCCCTGGGTTGGCATGCGTAGGATTCCATAATATTGTTGGCTCATCTGTCTCAGTCCGTGTTTGAAGATTGTCATTTTCATATTTATTAACGTTATTGTTGTACTGACCAGTTCGGTTGGTTCGGATGGTTCTTGCATCGCACAATGTGCAGATCAAGAGTTCCTAGCATTGTGCCCTCATCTAAGATTTGAACCTAGATTGTATTACGTATTTAAGTGAAGTCCACGAAGGTGAGGGGCCAGTAATGCTCAAACTGAAATGAGTCTTTCGATCTCGACATCAAAGGAGGAAATCACCATATACTGAATGGATAAGTAGGGTATGAAGTGTTGAATAGAACCAATATCATGGTCTTGCAGAAAATTCTGCTATTGCTATATAAAGATTCTAATTTCACATCCCCACATTCTATTTCAGTCACCGTGCATTCCGATACGCGCCAGCGGGTGGTACAGATAAGGCTTGCTGAAAAGCTAAATGACAGCGAGCTGCCGCTTTTGGACATTAGTGTATATGGCAAATGGGGATCATGAAATACATAGGTAAACTTGGCTCGCAGTGATATTGAATAGACGTACCTTATCGACCGTCATGATAGCAGATGAGTCTTTAATTTCCACATCGTTCATCACCAACGTCCAGACGTTATCACAGAATCGGTAGGTGTTCAGGTGCCCCTTCAAGGAGAGTCTATTCTTGACACGCTTGGCTAGTGCTAAACTTATACACTGGTCAAATTTCTGTATGACCTGAAGAGATAAGAAATAGGCTTTATCGTCTCTAGTAGCATTTACCTTAAGTGCTGTTTTCTGCTGCAGTAGCTTGTGTTCGACCATTTCGTCCAGTGCTTCTTGCAGCGTGTTTCCAAGGGTAGTTCTACGATACATTTGATGATACGTCATTGTCGGGTGGTTAAATGTTGCAAAGCAGATGATCAGAATAATAGGCGACGTGATATATACAAAGTGGATGGGGTGATGGAAGTAGACCGAGCAATGTTGAGAGGGATTACAATGGCTGAAACGGGCGAAAAGAGAAGAGGCATAATCTTCCATGATTAGGGCACGACTATTTGACAATAACTCTTCAACAGCCCACTATCGGTTTCGTTCTCTCGGAGCTCAATTTGTGAGGCCAATTAGCCAACAACGTCGAGACAGTAACATCAATGCTGCATACCAATGTTTCAATGATTCACAATCGAGCAGTGGCAAGCGGTATTTGTGTTATACCACGAAACCTAGGTAAAGAAAATTTGCCCTAATTACTTCGTCATGCAAAGACGCTATGTGGTAGTTCGGTTTCACTGCCTTATTTCGGCATATGATGTTTGGCAACCGCTTCATCATCATCGAAGACAGCGATATCAGTGCTGACACTGGTGCTTCATTGCCGTACAACCATAAGGTTCATCTAATGTATTTAAAGCATCATCATCGAAGACAGCGATATCAGTGCTGACACTGGTGCTTCATTGCCGTACAACCATAAGGTTCATCTAATTGTATTTAAAGCTCTACAGTGAAAACAGAAAAAGAGTTGTTGAGGGAGGGCGCCTAGTGCTGGACTATGCCAAGCATTCTGAGGTGCCTACACCTCCAGGCGCTCAATCAATCTGGAAACGGGCAGCACGAACGCCATTGAAATCGATTGGCCACCATTTCTCGGTCTCCAGCCAAACACAGGTGGGGTTTATAAAGGACCTCATTCTGGAAGGCGTACAACATTAACAACACCCGAATTCTTCGTAATTTCTTTCAGACCCTTCTGCCAAGTCATACGCTGTCCACTTCGCAGTTCCTGCCATTCTGAAAAAGGCACGGAGAACAATGCTCATCCCCGTAGACGGTGTTTCGGTATGAGCAGCACATGGCTGAGCCATCGAAGTCGGTGGTGCTGGATGTTTCCTCGATGAAGGTACCTGCCGCATAACCAAATACCCGTTTTTTAATCACCTCGTTACTAACATCCTGATGCCATCCAAAAACAGCCACGCTTCTGAGGTATCCGTGGTAAAAAAAATCTGAAGACGCCTCACATCATCTGTCCGCAGAGGTCATGTCCCACACCCATAAAACAACACAGCCCTGTAGTCTGGTACACGCGACCCTTGAGATTTATTGACACGCATTTTTGACGCCACAAGTGGCACAAATTATCAAACGCGATTCGAGCCTTTGAGATTCTCGCACTGACTTCATTAGACACATTTTCGTCAGAGCTAACACAACTAACGAGGTATGTGAAATTTTCAAGATAGTGACTCTCCTCTAATCGTAAGGGTATATTCAGATACTTCACGTTCTGAAGCATGACTTTGCACTTTCAAAGTGTAAGCCGCATGCCGAGAGATGGTGGTCAGTTTATTCAACACGGTTTGTGCCACACATCGGCCTTCAAAGATGAGAACGACGTCGTCTGCGTACCCCAGGTCGACAACAACGTGAACACTGGGGTTTTGAAGGCTGTCCAGTGTCTGCCTCGTTATTTCATCAATGACGAAGTTGAACAAGAATGGTGAGAGTGGACATCCTTGTCTGACACCATTTTTTGTAGGGAAGCTTTAGGAGAGCTTCCCATACACTCTTATCCACTCAGAAGTAAGTGAATGTAGAGATCGGACTCTATTCACAAACTTCTGGGGCATACCCTGTTGATGCCTCAGTGGTTAGAGTGCGGATTTACTGACCAGAAGGTCCACGGTTAGAACCCAACTCGTACCCCTCGACTTCCTCTGTCTAGGCTTGGGCAACCTGGCAGTACCCCAGTCTTCGTGCTTCCTTCTGGTGGCATGGCTACTAGGCACAAAAAGGGTGTTGTAGTTGAACGACTTTTTTTAGCTAACAGCAGTGACCGGTCGACAGAACACACTCTTAAAGTCAAGGAATACGAAGATTGTGAGTCGTCCGTACATATAAGGTTGCTCTAACGCCTCACGGAGTGTGAAGATGTGGTCTACGCAACCTCTACCCGGTCGAAATTTCGCTTGATTCTGACGAGTCGAGGTTTTGCGTGCCACCGTAAGACGACGAAGAATCAGTGACAACATAAGCCTTGCCACAGCAGGAGCCAAACTAACATCTCTGTGGTTACTACATTCACTGCGAGTACCCTTTTTGAAAATGGGCACTACCATAGATTCACCCCAGTTGTCTGGAACAGTTTCTTTCTCACATATAGACCCAAATAGGTTAGACAGGCACTGGCTACCACCATCCTTGAAAATAGCAGATGGAAGGTCGTCAGAACCAGTATCATGATGAAGCTTGAGTAGAGAAATACATTCAGCACTTCTGAGACTAAAGGCTGCTCCATATTCAGGGTCCACCTTATGATGAAGGCCAGGATTCTGGATTGGAGGTGAAGAGTGGCTAGCTGAATTGCTGTTCGAGGGTAGTTCTACGATACATTTGATGATACGTCATTGTCGGGTGGTTAAATGTTGCAAAGCAGATGATCAGAATAATAGGCGACGTGATATATACAAAGTGGATGGGGTGATGGAAGTAGACCGAGCAATGTTGAGAGGGATTACAATGGCTGAAACGGGCGAAAAGAGAAGAGGCATAATCTTCCATGATTAGGGCACGACTATTTGACAATAACTCTTCAACAGCCCACTATCGGTTTCGTTCTCTCGGAGCTCAATTTGTGAGGCCAATTAGCCAACAACGTCGAGACAGTAACATCAATGCTGCATACCAATGTTTCAATGATTCACAATCGAGCAGTGGCAAGCGGTATTTGTGTTATACCACGAAACCTAGGTAAAGAAAATTTGCCCTAATTACTTCGTCATGCAAAGACGCTATGTGGTAGTTCGGTTTCACTGCCTTATTTCGGCATATGATGTTTGGCAACCGCTTCATCATCATCGAAGACAGCGATATCAGTGCTGACACTGGTGCTTCATTGCCGTACAACCATAAGGTTCATCTAATTGTATTTAAAGCTCTACAGTGAAAACAGAAAAAGAGTTGTTGAGGGAGGGCGCCTAGTGCTGGACTATGCCAAGCATTCTGAGGTGCCTACACCTCCAGGCGCTCAATCAATCTGGAAACGGGCAGCACGAACGCCATTGAAATCGATTGGCCACCATTTCTCGGTCTCCAGCCAAACACAGGTGGGGTTTATAAAGGACCTCATTCTGGAAGGCGTACAACATTAACAACACCCGAATTCTTCGTAATTTCTTTCAGACCCTTCTGCCAAGTCATACGCTGTCCACTTCGCAGTTCCTGCCATTCTGAAAAAGGCACGGAGAACAATGCTCATCCCCGTAGACGGTGTTTCGGTATGAGCAGCACATGGCTGAGCCATCGAAGTCGGTGGTGCTGGATGTTTCCTCGATGAAGGTACCTGCCGCATAACCAAATACCCGTTTTTTAATCACCTCGTTACTAACATCCTGATGCCATCCAAAAACAGCCACGCTTCTGAGGTATCCGTGGTAAAAAAAATCTGAAGACGCCTCACATCATCTGTCCGCAGAGGTCATGTCCCACACCCATAAAACAACACAGCCCTGTAGTCTGGTACACGCGACCCTTGAGATTTATTGACACGCATTTTTGACGCCACAAGTGGCACAAATTAGCAAACGCGATTCGAGCCTTTGAGATTCTCGCACTGACTTCATTAGACACATTTTCGTCAGAGCTAACACAACTAACGAGGTATGTGAAATTTTCAAGATAGTGACTCTCCTCTAATCGTAAGGGTATATTCAGATACTTCACGTTCTGAAGCATGACTTTGCACTTTCAAAGTGTAAGCCGCATGCCGAGAGATGGTGGTCAGTTTATTCAACACGGTTTGTGCCACACATCGGCCTTCAAAGATGAGAACGACGTCGTCTGCGTACCCCAGGTCGACAACAACGTGAACACTGGGGTTTTGAAGGCTGTCCAGTGTCTGCCTCGTTATTTCATCAATGACGAAGTTGAACAAGAATGGTGAGAGTGGACATCCTTGTCTGACACCATTTTTTGTAGGGAAGCTTTAGGAGAGCTTCCCATACACTCTTATCCACTCAGAAGTACGTGAATGTAGAGATCGGACTCTATTCACAAACTTCTGGGGCATACCCTGTTGATGCCTCAGTGGTTAGAGTGCGGATTTACTGACCAGAAGGTCCACGGTTAGAACCCAACTCGTACCCCTCGACTTCCTCTGTCTAGGCTTGGGCAACCTGGCAGTACCCCAGTCTTCGTGCTTCCTTCTGGTGGCATGGCTACTAGGCACAAAAAGGGTGTTGTAGTTGAACGACTTTTTTTAGCTAACAGCAGTGACCGGTCGACAGAACACACTCTTAAAGTCAAGGAATACGAAGATTGTGAGTCGTCCGTACATATAAGGTTGCTCTAACGCCTCACGGAGTGTGAAGATGTGGTCTACGCAACCTCTACCCGGTCGAAATTTCGCTTGATTCTGACGAGTCGAGGTTTTGCGTGCCACCGTAAGACGACGAAGAATCAGTGACAACATAAGCCTTGCCACAGCAGGAGCCAAACTAACATCTCTGTGGTTACTACATTCACTGCGAGTACCCTTTTTGAAAATGGGCACTACCATAGATTCACCCCAGTTGTCTGGAACAGTTTCTTTCTCACATATAGACCCAAATAGGTTAGACAGGCACTGGCTACCACCATCCTTGAAAATAGCAGATGGAAGGTCGTCAGAACCAGTATCATGATGAAGCTTGAGTAGAGAAATACATTCAGCACTTCTGAGACTAAAGGCTGCTCCATATTCAGGGTCCACCTTATGATGAAGGCCAGGATTCTGGATTGGAGGTGAAGAGTGGCTAGCTGAATTGCTGTTCGAGGTGCTGTGCCCAGCGGTCCAAACGTTCTGCTTTGCTGCATATCAGGAAGACATTTCGGACCCTGATTATTTCGCTGGCAAAAGATATCCGATGACCAGTCGAAGGAAT